TGGTTGATTCATCGCATAATAAGCTTGCTGGTTGCTGTTATAATGATAATCATACTGATTATTATAACTCTCAACCACATGATTCTGACCGTACACTCCATCATTCCAGTAGGTAGGTGCGGGTGCTGAACCAAAATACTCCATCTTGTTCACCTCCACCTTAGCACTACCACCACTAGCAGCACCCTCCTTCCCTCCATCCCCTTCCTTTTTCTTCCCCTCAGCTTTCGCTTCTCCTCCTTTCTCTTTCTCTTTCTTCTCTCCGCCGTCTCCGCCGCCGGCTTTGTCTTTCTTCTCTTCCTCCTTTTTGGGAAGAACCACCTCCACGCCTCTCTTTAGCTTCTCTTTCAGGTAAGGTGCCAGGTCCTTCGCGTCCATTGTGCCCTTCACCGTTACCAGATCCTTGGCCGCGTCCACAGTCACGCTCGCCACACCTGTTTTTAATTAGCCAAGTCAGCCATCTATTTTTATTATTTTGCCACCGACTTTGAATAATTAAATTTAAAATGAGTTGTTATTTTGATTTAATAATTAAATATAATTAGTTAATTTACCTTTGGTTTTGGAGATGATTTTCTTTATTTTTGAAATGCAACCTTCACAGTGTAACCTGATTTTCAAAACGACGGTACTCTGCAACCACCAAAATTTATCAAGATTAGTTAAAACAAAAGTAATAATAGTAAAAAGATAACCAACGTCTAATTGCGGTAGTTGTGGATTTATTCAACTAACGCCTCGATATTGACGATTGAATTTCACCATTTATTTACCTCTTGAGGTGGTTTCTTCGCATCATCCTTTTTCTCTGGTTTCTTTTCGGATTTCTCATCGGCCTTTTTATCGCCACCTCCAGCAGCGGCACCACCGTCTTTCTTAGGCTGGGGAGAGACAATCTCAACTTTCTTCTTGGTTTTCTCTTCAAGCCTGGCTTTGATTTTTGCGGGGTCCACTTTCCCGGTCACAGTAAGTTTGTTGGCGGCACAATCTGTCTTCACACTTTCCACACCTGAAAAAATCCACAGAAATAGTCGTGTTAGCAACCGCAAATGCCTTAACCATTTAAATCAACCCCAAATAGATTTTTTTTTTTTTGCAAATAACTATTACCGTCTAAATGTTTAACGGCGTGTCTAATTTTCTTGGCACAGCCTTCACAATGCATGTCCATCTTGTAAACGGAAATAGCCTTGCCGTCATCTTTCTTTTCACCGGCATCAGCCGCGGGCTTCTTCTCGCCTTCAACTTTTGCACCCTCTTTCTGCTCGAAAACAACAAAGTAACCCAAATTAAGCCAGGAATGAATTAGAATTAAAGAACGGACAGTGAATGAGCTATTGACGTTAACTAACCTCAGCACCCATTAGTTTTTGTTTTTGTTACTGGCTACTAGTTGTGTATATCGCTCGTTGTGGGTTCTGGTAATTGTTTTTGAAGATGTGAATTGGAGGCAAATAAGGGAATATATAGAGAAGGAAAAGTGGGTGGGTTGGGAATGTATGTGAAACAATAATATGGGTTATGCGTATATATAGATGGTCATCATATATTTTGATGATGATGATGATCGGGTTGTTGATGGGTACTTTTATAGAATGAGGTCAGCAAGGAGGGGCTCGAAGAGAGAGAGAGAGAGAGGGATTGTATGTGACGAGTTTCATGGTTTGTGCCGCCTTGATGGACTCATGGTTGTCTAGAAACGACGGCATTTGTGACAAAGCATCTAGTTTTTGACTTGACCATGACTGGTCGGGTAAAATGACTGGAATGGCCTCCTGAATATTCTATTTCAGAGGGATGGTGGCGTGGGCAGTTGTGTCACAGTGATTGGTTGGTTGTTACAGTGCCAGAAAATCATGCGTTTGCGGTAGTTGGCACAGTAAATTTTAAGTGGAGCAGTTTATAGGAAATTGTGATTTCATTTTAATACCTCATTAATTAATTATTTTCTTGTAGTGGAGTATTTGCTATTTACTTGCTCTTGTGGCCGTTGGGCTTTTCTATTTTCTGGTTGTTTTTTTCCCAATGTTAAGAATTTCAAGTCATCTTGCTGTGGAATTTCTATTTAGGATCTGAGCTGTATATTTAATTTTAGTGAATTGGCGTTTTATGTTATTTTGTTTTTGGTTATGTATGTTAGAAATGTACTAGGTGCTAACTATCGATATTCCCACTGCCAATACAAGGCCAAAAAAAAAAAAAGGTAAAATACGAATACTAATGTCCAAATTTTGAAATTCCTTCTTACTTCACTTAATAATTATATGTTTAAATTAGTACTGGGTAAGTAATTTGATATCGTCAAACTCTTCAAGTTTTTTGTTTTTTTTTTTAACTGGAATAAGTTGGACTTAGTACAAATGTCACATTGCTGCCGTTTCAAAGCTCAACCTTCTCCTAATTATTTACCCTTCCATGTTTAAATATAATTGATCCAGTCTAATCTTGATGGGCAAACATTGGCTAGGTCCGGCTGATGTGTTAAAATATATATAAGCAAAGCTTGAAAAGGCGTGGAGCTTTTGATTTTTGCTATGTATGTAAATTAGCTGCGTGGGAGTTGGAATCACCTGTGCGTAAAAATTAAAGTGCATGGTACTTCCATCACATGAAAAAGGTTCCAGTTTCGTATTAAACTCAAACTTCGATGCCATTTCTAGCACCAACGCTTCGAGGCCGCCATACTGCCAAGCCGAGCATGACGGTAGTTCCAGTGATGAGTCTTGATCCAATAATTGGCTGTGGACCAAAAATGACAAATTATTATTAGATTAAGGAAAGACAGGTCTATACGCTTATCCGAATTGGCTTCCAATTCAAGCCTTGTAACGAATCACTGTCAAACTTTCAAGGGCAATGCATTTGACTCTGCTAGGGGGCTTACAATATCAATGACGTAACCGATGTATCTTGGAAACCCGAAATAATGGTAACCAATGGTTTCTGAAACTTGGATTGGTTTGCAAGAAATAGGAGGAGGATGAATTTCTAGGCTACAAGAGATGCGTAAACGTCAATCGGAGTGCCACGCATTTTTTGGACTCTTATTTCTCTCTGCGGGGGGACCTTATAATTGGGCAGTGTATGTTTTTGATTTTTTGCTATTTAAGAAAAAACAAGAATGAGGATCTCATGGATGACAAAAAATAAAAAAGGATGGAGGATCTCATGCCCGGATCGCAATTCACGCATCACATATCAAGGGAAGAACGAATTTCCAAGAAATATCTTATAGTGACTAACAAATTTCAAACACCATGCATCCAATGCACGTGCGAGTCTTCCATAATGCATTGACGTGAAAGGGTCATGTTACGAGCTGATGATTTCAGAGTTTCTTTCACGACAGAAACAGTAAAATTGTTTTGTTTTCAGTTTTAGTAATAAAAATAATTCCGAATAAATTTTCGTATAATTTGAAATTTTTGACACATGAAATACGTGAAGAAGTGACTTTGAATCCTTTCCTTATTGGGATCTTAAATAAATTATATTCGCTCGTAAAAAAAAAATTTCTTTGTAGTTTTGCCAACATGCAAATGCTAAATCTATGTTTGTGAACATATGAAGTAAGGAAAGTAGAGGAATGAAAGTGAGAGGGAAAAAATACGAGAAGCAAAGAAAAAATAATCTCTTGTATTGCGTTTGGATAAGACGATGAAGGAGGAAAGAAAAAGGAGGGAAAATAGTTTTTATATTTATTCAAATACAAAGGAAAATTAATTAAGTACTTGGCATTTTTTTTTTTAGAATAAAGTTGTAATTTTAGGACTTTTCCATTCACTTTCTCTTCAATTGTACAGGAGGATTAGTGTATTTACCCTTATACAGAACTTCCCCCTCTCCTCCTTTTCCCTCGTCTTCTTCTCAAACTTGGGAAAATGCATGGGAATTCCCACTTTCTTTCCTCTCGCTTTTACCCTTTACCAAATAAACACCATGTAAATGATGGGATGGTGCGGAGCATGCCATTCCCCAAACCAAAGGATGCTCCACGTGTCCAAATCTGCATTGCATTGTCGGGATTTTTATTTTCCATATGACAGGAACAGGCCCTGCAGTAGAACAAGGTGGGCCTTTGAGTAAATAAAAGCCATTTTCTTTTTGAGGACCTAACAAGTAACAAAGCCGGCTGCGAGCCATGAGAGAATGCTGAAAGGAACAGTTGCTGTTTCCGTTTCTGTTTCTAAACATAAACGTGACAACTTTCGAGAACCTTCCATCAAATTTCTCGAGAGGTCTTTCTTGGTTACTGCATTGCATTTCTTGTTGCCCTTTTGTACACATTTGAAGTCCTCCTCCTGCCCTACGCTCATATTTTATATTGCTCTTTATAATTACATGATTTAATTTAACCAGAAGATATCATATAACAAATCAAAATAATTTAAATTGCAATTAAAAATTCTTACAAATATTTTTAGTTTTGTATTTAGAAGGCTGTTATATGATATTCGTTGTTTTCGAGCTTTCATTTCTGTCAAGTAACCTAATTATAATGATAATTGGAAGGTGTTATTATATGTTTTAAACATTTGCCAATAATTGTTGCTTGTATATTCTTAGTTATCTGTAAATAATTAACAGACAATAATATTAATTTTGGAGCAATTACGTCAAATAAGTTCCTTAACGTTTCAAATTTCTAATCCGAGTTTTATTTTTTTCTAAGGAGAAAATTCAATAAATACAAAAGCCTTATGCCCAAATAGAAAAGGCTTTCAAGCCCAAATTAAGAGGAATAAAAACAAACCTAGGACAACAAAACATCAAGAAGCCCGAAACTATATAGAAGGTGGCTTAAAAAATTTAACCGAAGAAGGAAGAGATCTTCCTCTCCAGTCCATCTACTTTAAGCCAGATCATTCCGTGACGGAAAAGGCCCAAAAAGAAAGGAAAAAAAGAAAAAAATCATCTTCCCCTGTAGCATTGTAATAAAACTAGCAGAGTTCAGTGGCCGAGCAGACTGTTCTTACTCCTTCCCTTCCCTCCACTTCACTATGCCTCCAATTCCATCTTCACTTCATGTACTCCACCCGCGCCTGAGCCATTACTTAAAACCTAATTTCGTTTCTCTCTCCTACTTCTCTATTTCACCCCGCAAATTTCCTCTTTCTAGGCAATTGATTCCGATAAACCCTAGAACTCTCTTTTCTGTAGCATCTGCGCTGTCTCCAACAGAAAATGGCAGCGGCGGCGGCGGAGGCAGGTCGGGCGCGCTGGCTGGTCCGCCGGTACTCGAAAATGTCATGCAGAAAATTGACGTGAATCCTCCTAAAGGTACCAGAGATTTCCCTCCTGAAGAAATGCGCCTCCGCAACTGGCTCTTTCACAATTTCAGAGAGGTCAGACCTCTCTCTCAATATAGATATATATATATATATCTCTATATATTACGTATTAATTTCATGTGTTTTTGTTGTTTTTCAGGTGTCGCAGTTGTTTGGATTCGAGGAGGTTGATTATCCGGTTTTAGAATCAGAGGCACTGTTTATTAGGAAAGCTGGAGAGGAAATCAGGGACCAGGTTGGTGTGTATTTAGCTTTCAAGCCATTCTTTTTTTTTTCTTTAGCACTTGTGTTGTTTAATTTATTGCAACTTAACTTGAAGAAACTATTGAGTGCTTAATTAGGTGGGAGGTTCTGGCATTTTAAACTGTAGTACTTGGCGCGATGATCATGCTGTCAAAGTTTTGAACTTTTATTAAATTTATTGATACCTTGTCAAATGCAATCAATAACTGTTTTCCTCGTTAGGCATCACTTAAAAAGATTTAATCTGGAATTGGGAGTGGGGGTTCTTGAAGGGTGTCTAATGCAATACAGTGGACTGGCCAAAAGAGAAGAGCATCGATGATGAATGTGAACAGATATCAATTCTGTCATTCTTTCTCTTCATTTCTTTTTTTTGGAGTTCTTACTGTGGGTCTTCTAGATTTTCTCTATGTACCAACATTAAAATTCACACGTCTCTTAACAGTCATACGCCATGCAGTTTTTTGTGTTGGCATATGTTTATTTGATGGCGCGTGATTGTTCTTTCTCATATGACAATGAGTGATGCAACTCAAACTTAAAATCTTACACGTTTTTATATTTAAATCGCATCACCTTTTATCACTTTCTTCATGCAGTTATATTGTTTTGATGATCGTGGAAATCGCCGTGTTGCACTGAGGCCTGAGCTTACTCCCTCTTTGGCAAGGCTTGTAATACAGAAAGGGTACTTGAAATTTCTGACACTGCTCTGACACGGCAGGGTCCTGTTGTTTTCGCCTTTGAATAGCACATATCCTTTTTTATGTGTTTCTTTATCTCAATTTGCTTGTCCTTGACAAAAACCTTTAGGTTTTCATTTATTTGCTTATGATTTGTATCCAGGTACAGATGGAGATTTGATCCCCATGTTTTTTTTGTCCAGAAAATCGCTATCCCTCCCATTGAAATGGTTTGCCATTGGACAATGCTGGCGATACGAGAGAATGACTAGGGGACGGCGTCGTGAGCACTATCAATGGAATATGGATATAATTGGCGTCCCTGAAGTCACTGTAAGTGCTTCCGAATTAGCTTGACATCCAAAAAGTTTTTTCAGAATTTAGAGTTTTTTTTAGCTCTGAATCTTTTCCTCCCCTTTCTCTCACAAACAAATGTATACATGTTTGAGCACATAGGCATATGGTTTTGAAACATCCTTGTCTATTATTGTTGAGATACAGCTTTAATAAAGCTTTCAAGATGGATGACATGAAGTATAATCGTTATAGCCTGCTCTACCTTTAGTGATAAGGTTTACTTCAAACAGTTGTTTTCAATTAGTTTCAAGGCCAGTTAATTTTGTTATCAATTGTTCAATTTTTATCTGTATATCGTGTAGGCTGAAGCAGAGCTCATTTCCTCCATTGTTACATTTTTTAAGCGAATCGGAATCTCAGCATCAGATGTGGGATTCAAGGTTAATAGTCGCAAGGTAGTTATTATTATTATTATTATTATTATTATTATTATTTTGGGTGAACATGGACTAAAACTGGGGTTCTTTTGTGACAGACAGTCTGGTAAACAATTAGACATTGTCAAATACACCTTTTCCGAACTCTGTGTTACTTAACAATTAACAAATGATTCTGTAATTTTGTGCAGTTTGAATTGCTCTTATTGAGTGCTTTTAATCCAATAATTCTGCATGTTTGTTTCATTAATTTAGTTTTTAGCTGTCTTCTTTAGGAATTATTCTGAAAGTTATGACTGATTCATTGAACTGCATGGATGGACATATACATCTGTGTGTTTAAGGGTGTCATTAATCTGTGAATAAGACAAATTCAGAGTCTATTAATCCTTGGTAATAATTGAGAAAATACTAGAGACACAATAAGCAACTAGTGAGATTGCTGAATTATGATGATAGTTTTGTTTTCTTGTAGTTACTTTAGACAGAAAGTCATGCATGTTTTCCTTTGGTGGGGTTTAGACTGCTGCCCGAAGATAAAGTCACCGTATGCTGCATTCATTCCAGCACTGCATGGTCTTTTGGAATTATATGATTAACCATTACACTGTGCATATCTTGAATGGAATAATTTTTCATGATGCTACAATGTGATCACTCAACCAACACAACGTGTATATGAATGTCATTATTTGGCTTTCAATATCATTATCTGTGTGCAGTTTGTACCACCGTTGTTAATATTTTGAGTGTTTTCTTCTTCATTGCAGGTTTTGCAGGAAATATTAAGGTCTTACTCCATATCGGAAAACTTGTTTGCTAAGGTCTGCGTTATCATAGACAAGGTTGGTTGCCTTCTTTTCTTTTTTGCTTGAATATATATTCATAAAGGCTGATTGCTTGTGGTTTCATCTTCTGTGATGTGATTTCTCCCTTGTCACTGTACTGTTAGTAATGATGGCTGATATATTGTCATAATTTTAACTCTTAGCAGTCATTTATGGCATTTTACAAATTAAATTTGTATTGGTTTAGCATATTGATACCTTTACGCAGTTAGATGTGTGCTTTTTCAATGTTGATGCATCACTTTTTCTCCTATTGGGCCATGCTAATGGTGCTGATAATACTGATACAGATTGAGAAGATTCCAGTTGATGAAATTAAGAAAGAATTGAAGTCTGTTGGGATGTCACAAGAGGCTGTTGACGAGCTGCTTGAAGTCCTTTCCATAAAGTCATTGTCAAAGTTGGAAGGTAGAATTCAACATGTTGCTGGAAGATTACTCGTTTTTAGTTATTTTTATGCCAAACATTCTCAGGGTATCCTCTGGCATATGGTAACTGTTGAATGCTTAACTAGGGCAACTGGTAACCAAAAATATTTTCTTAAAGGGTATTGATGAAAAATCCTAATTATAGCCTTAAAAATCCTGTAAAAATTCCAAAAACAGAACCCATTTACAAAAGACCATTGTTTTGAGAGTTCAGATTTAATAAGGATGCTGGGAAATTTTCGTCATGTATCATATCCTCTTTATTTAGATCCTTGTCCTGTGGTTTGCTTTTTTTCTTAAAATTTCCCTGGAAATAAAGATTCAAAAATTTCACTATTTTTTTTTCGAAGGGCAGAAAGTGGCTACAAGATATTGGTGCCCAAAGAGCATATTAAGCTATACCATATTGCTTTTTAAACAATGCAAAATGAAAATCACATGTATCTTTTAGATTTACTGGTTGAAAAATTTATTTGAATTGATTGATTTTTAGTTCTTGAGGTTGAAGTGATCTCTCAAGATAGATGCAGAACATGAAACTTTTTTTTAGTGTCTAATTACGTACTTGAATTATTGTGTGAGTTTAGAGATCCTTGGAGGTTCTGGGGAAGCAGTTGCAGATCTTAAACAGCTGTTCTCACTTGCTGAAAAGTTTGGTTATTCTGAGTGGATTCAGTTTGATGCATCAGTTGTCCGTGGCCTTGCCTACTACACTGGCATTGTGTTCGAGGTTAGATTTGTGAGATGACTCTTTTAGCTTTACAATAGATGTAGTGGACCAAGAGTTGCATGAAAACATGTGATATCAAAATTTTAGGAGCTGCAATTGCTGACACACTGCGTACCATACAGTTAATGTGTCCTGATTATCCTATGTCCAAAAAAACTTAGAGAATCCCATTTCTGTAGAAAATGACTGACAATGTGGCCAATACAATCTTGGCAACATGTTAAATAACTTTGCTTGGATATTAAATGATTGATGCTGTTCCTTTTAGTAGATTCTGGGCAACCTGACCACAAAGATTACTCATTTTCCCTGTTGTTTTACCCAACTATCTAAAACAAAAAGTTCTTTTCTTAGGGTTTTGATAGAGCAGGAAAGTTGAGAGCCATATGTGGTGGTGGGCGATATGATCGGTTACTCTCTACTTTTGGTGGTGATGACCTTCCAGCTTGTGGCTTTGGCTTTGGGGATGCTGTCATAATTGAAGTAAGTTGTTAGTTTTGTCCCTTTTTTGGGCTACGTTGAGGAAAAATTGATGAAGTGAATTATGCCTTGTTTAATACTATATAGCTTGATGTGCTTAATTTAAGCTGCTATTTGCTTCCCATCTTCCAAGAAAAAAATTATGCAACCAAAGATTTCTATTATGAGATACACCAGTATTGTCTACTAGTAAATAGCAATAATAGCTCCTGCTATGGTCAGTTGGCTTTCTCTGTGTTTCTTGAAAGGTTGCCAAGTGAACTTCATTCCTCAGTTTTGGGGTGGTAGGCAGTAGAAAGGCGTAATGCTTTTCCCATGATCCTCCGTAAGATCTAAAAAAATCCCCCACAAAACAGGCGTCTCTTTTGGGAGCGAGCGTTTTAGGCACCCCATGCAACATAACCACCTCTTGAAAGGGCAAAGTAGAAGTTTAGATGAATGGTCATTTTACGTATTTTCTGGTTTGCACCGGTCTACCACAAGCATGTGGAGTAACTGTCAGTACTTTTCTCTGACACGTTGAGTCTGATGTGTAGCATAAGCAGTTTCCTTCTTGATAGTTTAAATATGCAATCATTGTGATTTCTGAAGAAATGAACTCATCCTTTACTCTTGTTTTTCAAATGGTGTTTCATTTTCCGTTGTATCATTTTATATGTCCTTTTGTCGTGTAGTGTTGATCGGTTTCCTTTCTTTTATTTACTCTAGTAATGCTCATGTAAGTATGTACTTTTTTTGGATGGTGTGGTTTACAGCTACTCAAAGATAAGGGTATCCTACCAGAATTGAGCCCCCAAGTCGAGAACATTGTGTGCGCTCTTGATCATGATCTCCAAGGAGCAGCTGCTACAGTTGCTATCATACTCAGGGAGAAAGGCCAAACCGTTGATTTAGTCTTAGAAAGCAAACCTCTTAAATGGTATCAAATTCTATCTTTTCTGACTTTCTATGTGTCATTTGCTTATAGGTTCTATTAATTTTCAGGGTTTTCAAGCGGGCAGTACGTATAAATGCACAAAGGCTTATATTGGTGGGGAATACAGAATGGAAAAAGGGTATGGTTAGTGTAAAAATCCTCGCTTCTGGGGAACAATCTGAGATTAAACTCGATGAGCTAGAGTGAGAAAAGGAAGGACGGATTTTTTGGTGATTTCTATTTACTATTTATATGATCTTTTTCCTTTAACCATCTAGTTTACTTTGTCTAGATTTTTTTACAGATCTTTTGATAAAAAATTCTTCATTTTTTCATACATCTTTATAAAGCTATTTTCTTACTGATTACGTTCATTTTCCCTTTGAAACATTCTAATGACCTGGATTCTGTTAGGTTTTAATCTGACATGCATGCATCTGCTACAACAATACGCAGATTAGTTATCTTGCTCTGGGTGACGAAGTTGTATCCATGCATCTATCAGATTAGATTAGATCTTCCCCTTTTTGAGTGATAGGAAAAAAAGTTGATTGCTAGTACTTTGGAGTTGATAATGGTTATAAACACAAATGAACTGATGAAGGTCTCCCAACTTTGAGCAACTTGATGGTTACTGGGATTATCACGCTAAACAATTACATTCTACTGCATTGCCGTGAACATACATAGAGACACACACACATAAATACACTCACGCACTTTCTTTATTGCATTACCCTGATCTTAAATACACTTGCTCTTACTGCATTATAACTGATCATTCTAGCGGCTGCTAAACTTATGTGCATTGATGGTGCGTATTCAGCTATGGTGCTGAAAGGCCTATGCTACATGAATGTATCTCTGGTTTTGGCCTTATGTCTTCAAGCTCTAACTTGTTACGAATGTCCCCACATATCCAAATCCCATTATGAAGAATGCTCCGGCTTGAAGTAATAGATATACGAAGAAATGATCTTTCCCAAAGTGTAGGTCGTAGATTGCACAGTATAACATAAACATCCCCATTATCAGCTCTAGGACGTGAATTCTGTGTAGCATGAAAAGATGAAAAGGAGATGTGAAATTCATTGACATCAGTTAGTACTAGTTCATATTCGTAGAGCCATATTTTCTAATTTAGCAATCCTATTTGTCACCTGCCTGCTGAATTGAGGTTTGAAGCATAATAAAGGGAGCATTTTGCTTTGTCTGATGTGTTACTCTGTATTTGCTGTCCTACATGGTTGGGTTATTACTTTGTCTCTGAAATTTGCCTAAGGTTTTTTGTAATGCTTGGGTTTATGGTGATATGCTGTTTTGCTGAAAATGTCTAATGAATACCTTCTTCATGTGCTGCATGTAAGAAAAGGACCGAGTAAAATACCTGTCTCCGATGCAAGATCGAACTTTCTTCGATGCTTTAGAAGTGTTCTTTTGCCTCACAGTGTTCCCAAGCTTCTCAGTCACAACCCATTCATTAACACGGTTCACTTCTAGGAGTCCTATAATTGCTGCTTTGGTTCGATGTAGGGACATTACATTTTCAAACAGGATCCAGAACACGAGCAGGTGAAGTGACCTGCTCCATTGTAGAGATTGTAGCTATAGACTACCAGTCAATGTCAATATAAAAGGGTACAAAACTCAAAAAACGAAGTGGAAAACTTTACATTGCTGTAATTAGGTTACCTTGGAGTGCAGACTGCGTTTAGAATGGTAATGGTGGCTGGAATGTAAATAGCTATAGGCTTTGTGAGTTTTATTTCTGGAACCAAGACACTGGTTGGTATAACTATGCAGTAAAAGAAGAAGGTGACCCAGTGTGCAACTATCTTCCTCACAAAGAAGAAAGCATAGATGACATGAATTCTCTTGAAGATTGACACCCTCTGTGTAAAACAAAATAATATGGAAATTTCTCTTGAAAAGAATCATAGATAGTAATCAACTCAGAATGAGGATTAGAGTGAAACACTTTACTCACTTCACAATGGATTATTTCTTTGGTCATCTTCCTGAACAGATTAGCTGGGCCACATGACCAGCGGTGTTGCTGATAACGATATGCCTTGAATGTGCTTGGAAGTTCATTTCTCACCTACAAAGGAAAACAGAAAATGGAAGATCGGGTTAATAGTTTACAGTTCCTTGAAACTTCAGAGGCAGGAGTGCAATCACAGTATTTATCTCTGCAATCGAGAACTCACAGTTAAGTCACCCACGAAGACGAATTTCCAGCCCTTAAGGCTAGCCCTGACTGCAAGATCCATGTCTTCCACTGTGGTTCGATCTTTCCATCCACCAGCATCATTTATGGCTTGGATTCGCCAAACACCAGCTGTACCTACATACTCATTAGGATTAGGTTTAAGTTGCATGAATTGAACAATATTCACCTCCTAGATCAGAGAATTTTTTTTTATCTGGTTAACAGATAAAGATGTTGCTGCTGAATATACCATTGAAGCCGAAGAATGAACAGGTTGAGGAGCCTACTTCCTGCTCAACACTGAAGTGATAGTCCAGGGACATTTCTTGTAGCCGGGTCATCAGACACTCATTGGCATTCACTGAAATAAATTCGATTTCAATTTTTAAGTTAAAAGTCTTGAAACTGCAACATTATAGTACATAAGAAAACAAATCCTGTGTTAAGGCCTAGAAACTGTCTATATGATTGATCTGGGTGCTTGAAATTGGAAAGATCTCCGTAACAGTGTTTCTAATTCCACCTGCTTGAGTCATTCAGGGTTTTCTAATGCTGCCTATTGGACATAATAGAAAGCTAGAGCCAAGAAACAAATATGCATTTGGTGGTGCTCGTACCGAGCGGAAAAAAGAGAGGATCATGGACAAGGAGAGAACGTGATTTATTTTGTTCGTCAGTAGAGAAACTTGATTGTTCAGTAGTATACCTAGATGCATCTAATCTCAAGATACGGCCTTACCGAATTTCCATCTAGCCTGAACCAATCCCAATTCAGGGTTCTCGAGCAGATAAGGAATCGTTCTAAAAAGAAAATCCTTATCTGGCTGGAAGTCTGCATCAAATATTGCCACGAACTCACAATCTCTGACATATTGTTTCTCTAAACCTTCTTTAAGAGCACCAGACTTGTAACCGTTCCTATTGTTCCTGGTTTCGTACTCAACTTTCACTCCTTTTCCTATCCATTTTTTGCACTCCAACTCCACCAGTTCCTGCGTGTTCTTACAAAAGTCATTTCAACATAAGCAATTAAAGAGTTTTTTTTTTTTGTTAGATTTTGTTGGGTTTGAAGAGATAGTCAGGTACCCGTAGGACTTCATTGGTAGAGTCATCAAGAACCTGAACTATGAGACAATCAGATGGCCATGAAAGCCCACACGCAGCCCCAATGGAAAGCTTGTAGACCTTCAAAAAAGACAATGATTAGAAGAATATAAGTAACTTCTTGTGTTTCATACCCAGTATGGAGCTCATTGAATCTTAGATTCATAGCAATGAATTCATGATTAATTAGCTAGGATGCACTCTTAATAATTACACAGGTAATTAGGAATGACTGTGAAAAGAAAGAATAGTTCTGGAATGAATTTGAGTTAACTGCATCTTAAATTCAATCCAATCTCCCAAATCTAGCAGGTAACTCTTCATCGCGAGGCTAGGATAATCTGTTAAACCATTTTTATGATTAATCAGCTGCTTTATGTAGCGCAGAAATGCCTAATACTACCTGTTTATAACTCTTGTCAAGGAGAACATGAATATCTATAGACTATATGATTGATAAGTCTTTATGTGCAAACATTGATTCATCTTGTGTGTGTGTGTATATATATTCATGTCTTTGTTCTATAACTTTATGGTTATAGAAACCTGTGTGCATAAACAATCATGAACCGCACTTGAACATATATTTTGCATTCAAGGTGGTGATCTTATATAGTCAGATCATATAGGATAAGTCCTTTACTGAATATAGCTAATCTGTACAGCTATGACATGAAACATTATCAAGTAGTTAACAAATTGAACAGTTCTTATGTAAGACAGAAGCAGGGGAATTGCATATTCCTAACTTGGGATGTTATGAGATCATTATCAGAGAAATGGTCTATATGATATGCGTATATTTAGAAAATAGAGTTTTGTTTTAAAAAATAAAAATAATGTATATAGGAAGAAAATAAAGTTTCTGCTTTGTGCTGCTTAAGTATTTTTGTGCTTGAAGTGCTCCATACATCAGATAAGGTCAATAAAATTTATTATGAAAGACTACCAAGACAATCCAACTATCAACTAATGCTGTCTATTTATATGATAGATGATCATTTTGGAAGTTATGTATGCATAGTTTTAAACTTTTTATGACAATTCTGGATGATGATAAAAATATTAAAGCATACAATACCTCTCTCTCATTATACATAGGTATTTGAACCAGCACTATTGGATAGCTGCTATGTTTATGCTCTCTGTCTTCTTTCATGGCGTCCAACTTATATTTGGTGTACTTTTCCTTCCCCAGCAGTCTTACACACATGATGACAAGAGCCATGTAAACCCTTTCAAGAAAAAGCATAACAGACATCACCGAACACAAGATAATTGCAAGTCTTAGGAGAGGTGCAATGACTGGAAGTCTTATAGATTCCCAGACATAGCTTAGGCTGCTTCTCACACCTGTGACTGTCACCTCAGAAGGCTTTTGAAGAACTAAATTCCTCATGGTCTCTTGTGGACCTGGTTGTAGCTAGTTATGATAGGAACAAGCTCAATCAAACTATTAAGGTATGAGGGCAGGCAGTGACTAGCTCGATGCTGAAACTGCACCAGTGGGCTAGCTTGGTACTGCTTCGCAAGATTTATGTTAATTTTAGGTTAAATAGAAAGGGAGCATAAGAAGAGGAAGAGAATTTAGCGTGGTGAAAGAAACAGATGAAGACATACATGGATGATGGTTTCATGTATTGGAAATGTTTCTATTTGACAGACACATGTAGTATCTGATCGCTTGCTATCTGGCCTGTTATGCCGACAACACGATCAGAAGTTTTTTTGTCAATGATTCAGTTCATTCTTGAAGTACTTGTTTTAGTTTATAAGACGAATGTTGTCCCTAGTCAGTAATTATATACGTGCAACAGAATCAAGCTGGCATCTCTTGTTTCTTACATCCTACTTGCATATGTTTCTTTTTACTACTTTCTTGACGAACATTAAAGAAACTCTTCAAATGGATAAGTCAAATGATATATTAATTATTCTTTGCTGTCTTGGCTAATTAATGGCCATTGTTCCCTCGTTTAACGAAAGGGAATTAACTGAAAGATAAGTAGCAAGTGAGGGCTTACTCTTAGCTAGGCTAGTTGAGAGTGTTGGATTATTCTACATCTTCTGTGCAAATATATATTTATATATATATATATATATATATATATATATATATATATATATATAAGCTTTTCGGTTGAGAAAATTCAAAAGTACTCAAGTTAAACAATTCTCTAATATTAATCTAAAAACTTAGGTTAAACAATTCTCTCGCACAATTTAATAAGAAGTAGCTCACTTAGGGTCTGAAGGTTGATTAAAAATAACCAACTTAAAACTCAATATATAAAAAAATAAATTGTTAAATTATCTCATATCAATTAAAAAAAAAAAAGAAGTATTATTTAATGATAAGCGGGAGGGAAAAGCTCCTTTTTAAGCTAGCAGAGTTGATGCAAAATATTGCTAAAGATTAAGCTGAAGGTTAGAATGTTATGATTTGACATTCATATGTGAAATGCAAAGTTTTAGTCTTAACCATTGGAATTACAACAAATTGTTGTTATTTGTCCACGTGAGTCAGACAGAAAATGAGGATTTTGCAAACGCGTGGCCTCCTAAAGAAGACAAATGTTTTGTTTTGGGGGGATACGAAACATGTTTGGTGTGTGCAATGGAAGTAGAGTTCAATAGCTCATCTATGTTATCAGAAGGAAAGAATGTATGAATGAATGTATGTTACGCTTTGCGGTTGAAAGTGATGACTAAGACATGAATGGCATGGTTGAGCGCCACCTCCTTGCCAACCTACTTCCAAATGAAATGATCTTCTTTGCATTTAAATCGGCCCAACGTAACAGCCTAGCAGGCAACGTTTTTTTTTTTTCCCCCTTCCGTACGTGTATTTTAATGGGATTGAATATTTATATTACTTTATAAATTATTATCAATATTTATTCCATAAGAAATAAGCAGGCATAAATAAATAAATGAATAAAAATAAACTGAATTTAAATAAAAATAATTTATAATTTTGAATGAGTCCAAATATGATCATTTATTTTTTTAGGATCTATTTTTTGTTTTAAAAAATAAATTCATAAAATAATTATTATAAATATAAATTTATAATAATTATTTCTCGAGTAATACAAACTTTCTCGATAAAAGCGATCAAATAGGTATTCGATTTTTTTATTTTTTTAATCTAAATCATACTTAATTATATGAAAAATGGAATTATGAGAACCAAAATGCTTCTTCAATTTGATTGTTTGGTTTTCGATTTTCAATTTTTTCAAATAAATTGTTTATTTATTTATTTATTGAAATTAAAAATTGGAAGAAAAAACAAGAGTTTTGGTTTTTTGGTTTATTCAGTTTTAAAACTAAAATTCAAATGAAAAATCAATTATGGAATCAAATAAATTAAAAACTGAAATACCAAACCAAACTAATCGAATTATGGTGGTTTGGCTCAATTTTTCGATTTGGGTCAGTTTTGTTCACCCTGCAGCTATGACATTTTAGCAAAAAAATAAAAAAAATAAAAATTGTAAGTATTATTTTTGTAAGTTATTATCAATTTTTTTTTCTTTTATTTATGTTATGTATTCACAGTTAATAGCTTTATATCAATTAACTTATATAAATATCAATCTTACTCGTATTAATAATAGACTTTACCCTATGTTTGGATAATTCCTCTTGGGAGGAAAGAAAAGAGAGGAAAGAAAGTGAGAGAAAAGAAAAGAGGAAGGAAAGAAAATCATTTTCCACTTGTTGTTTGGATAAGAGTGGAAAGGAAAGGAAAGAAAATACATTTCCTTTGTTTGGAATAGAAAGGAAAGAAAATGTATGATTGTATATTTACTATAATACCTTTGTGATTATATTTATATATTTAAATACTTATAATAAATTTGTATGAATATTTTGGTAATGAAAATAACACAAATGATGATAAAAAAAAATCTAGCATGTAGCATATATCCGAAATGATAAGATAGATAATGAATCGTCTCCATAGCATAACCGATAACTCGTTTATTAATTAATTAATCCAATAGCCAATTTATATTAATTATCAACATAAAATTAATTTAAATATGTATAACATGTATTATTAGCTATGCATATAATAAGTTAGTTGCTTTTACTCATCATTTCTCCGTTTTTTTTTTAGAATAAACAATTACTATTAAGCAATTAAAAAAAAGAATATATTTTAACATTGCGAACAATCATCGAAAGTCAATTGAATCACGAGAAAATGAGACAAATCACAAATAATTTTTATTTATTCTCTTCTTTTGCATTAACTCCAAAAAGTGTTCCAGGGGATGTCTTGAGGGATATTTTGTGTCTATTTTGGTGGGTTTTTTTGGTGGTTTTGAATCTGGTATGGGGTTGTTTGTGGAGCTTTTTTGGTGGTTCAAATGGCCTTTGGAAAGGGGTTGCTCTGTAACGGTTTTCGGAGGCTGTTGGTAACGGTTTCGGGGCTGAGTTTGGGGGCTTTTCGATAGTGTTGGGGGTTGGTTTCAGGCCTCATTTTTTATGGGTTTTGGGGTTTTTGTGGGTGGTTTTAAAGCTGATTTGGGGGTGTTTGTGAAGCTTCTTTGGTGATTCAAATGGCCTTTCCAAAGGGGTTGCTCTGTAATGGTTTTCAGGGGCTGTTGGTAACAGTTTCAGGGCTGAGTTTGGGGGCTTTTCGATAGGTGTTGGGTCTGTTTTGGGGGTTGGTTTTAGGCCTCATTTTTTATGGGTTTTGGGGTTTTTGTGGGTGGTTTTGAAGCTGGTTTGGGGGTGTTTGTGGAGCTTCTTTGGTGGTTCAAATGGCCTTCCCAAAGGGGTTGCTCTGTAATGGTTTTCGGGGCTATTGGTAACAGTTTCAGGGCTGAGTTTGAGGGCTTTTCGATAGGTGTTGGGTCTGTTTCGGGTTGGTTTTAGGCCTCGTTTTTTATGGGTTTTGGGGTTTTTATGGGTGGTTTTGAAGCTGGTTCGGGGGTGTTTGTGGAACTTCTTTGGTGGTTCAAATGGCCTTTCCAAAGGGGTTGCTCTGTAACGGTTTTCGGGGGCTGTTGGTAACAGTTTCAGGGCTGAGTTTGGGGGCTTTTCGATAGGTGTTGGGTCTGTTTTGGGGGTTGGTTTTAGGCCTCATTTTTTATGAGTTTTGGGATTTTTATGGGTGGTTTTGAAGCTGGTTCAGGGGTACTTGTGGAACTTCTTTGGTGGTTCAAATGGCCTTTCCAAAGGGGTTGCTCTGTAACGGTTTTCAGGGGTTGTTGGTAACAGTTTCAGGGCTGAGTTTGGGGGCTTTTCGATAGGTGTTGGGTCTGTTTTGGGGGTTGGTTTTAGGCCTCATTTTTTATGGGTTTTGGGGTTTTTGTTGGTGGTTTTGAAGCTGGTTCAGGAGTGTTTGTGGAGCTTCTTTGGTGGTTCAAATGGCCTTCCCAAAGGGGTTGCTCTGTAACGGTTTTCAGGAGCTGTTGGTAACAGTTTCAGGGCTGAGTTTGGGGGCTTTTCGATAGGTGTTGGGTCTGTTTTGGGGGTTGGTTTTAGGCCTCATTTTTTTATGGGTTTTGGGGTTTTTGTGGGTGGTTTTGAAGCTGGTTCGGGGGTGTTTGTGGAACTTCTTTGGTGGTTCAAATGGCCTTTCCAAAGGGGTTGCTCTGTAACGGTTTTCGGGGGCTGTTGGTAACAGTTTCAGGGCTGAGTTTGGGGGCTTTTCGATAGGTGTTGGGTCTGTTTTGGGGGTTGGTTTTAGGCCTCGTTTTTTATGGGTTTTGGGGTTTTTGTGGGTGGTTTTGAAGCTGGTTCAGGGGTGTTTGTGGAACTTCTTTGGTGGTTCAAATGGCCTTTCCAAAGGGGTTGCTCTGTAACAGTTTTCGGGGGCTGTTGGTAACAGTTTCAGGGCTGAGTTTGGGGGCTTTTCGATAGGTGTTGGATCTGTTTTGGGGGTTGGTTTTAGGCCTCCTTTTTTATGGATTTTGGGGTTTTTATGGGTGGTTTTGAAGCTGGTTCGGGGGTGTTTGTGGAGCTTCTTTGGTGGTTCAAATGGCCTTTCCAAAGGGGTTGCTCTGTAATGGTTTTCGGGGGCTGTTGGTAACAGTTTCAGGGCTGAGTTTGGGGGCTTTTCGATAGGTGTTGGGTCTGTTTTGGGGGTTGGTTTTAGGCCTCGTTTTTTATGGGTTTTGAGGTTTTTGTGGGTGGTTTTGAAGCTGTTTCAGGGGTGTTTGTGGAACTTCTTTGGTGGTTCAAATGGCCTTTCCAAAGGGGTTGCTCTGTAACGGTTTTCGGGGGCTGTTGATAACAGTTTCAGGGCTGAGTTTGGGGGCTTTTCGTTAGGTGTTGGGTCTGTTTTGGGGGTTGGTTTTAGGCCTCGTTTTTTATGGGTTTTGGGGTTTTTGTGGGTGGTTTTGAAGCTGGTTCAGGGGTGTTTGTGGACATTCTTTG